ATGAGAAGCCAAAATTGAGCGACTAAAAATACTTTGTATTTTCAGTAGTTAAATACTTTGGCGTTATTTTAAAAGAAATTCCAGAAATCCAACGTGTCATTTATAGAAATTTGAAATTAAAACTATCTGAATTCGAAAAAAACCGAAAGTTTAAACAGAAATCTTTCCAATAGCACACAAAATATTTACTAAAAATAATTTAAATATTTTAACATGTAACTAAAAATTCAAAATATAAAAATGTATATTAATTTGATAAAAATTGTAAAACAAAAAAACTTGAAAACAAATAAGATACATCAATAATGTAAACCCTTATATTATAAACAAATGTCGGATACTCCCCTCAGGCAGCGCTCATTATTTACAGGATATTTACACTAAAATGGCTCCTGTAATGCTGAGCTAAGCAAACGCTCTAATTAATATTATGAGCGCTTCGCGTTTGTTTGCCTTTCACCTTTTGATGTGCATTGGCTTTTACAGCTGCATTTTGAGCATATCGCGTCCCTTTGAGTCGATCATTGCTTTGCCAGATATACATAGAAAACTCAACAAACATTCTCACGCCCAAAAGTCGGCTATGTTTTTTTTTTTGTGTTTTGTATTTCTTTTTATACCCTGATTTTTTGCTGATTTTTGTTTGTGTCCCACTTACCGAGTTTTCTGGTTACTATCACAACGAACAATTGGCAGGTAGATAGCAGGCTTAGCCAAGTTAATTGTTAGTTCTGCTTTGCTTTGCTTTGATATGGTTTTGGTTCCAGGCTTGTCTGCTCGTTATGGTTTCCTTTGCAGCTCTTGTTTGTTTTTTTTGGGGTTACTCTGCTTAATTATCTGTATACTTTAGCTGCTTTTCGTTGTTGTATAACTGAAATGTAATAAATGTAAAGAATATCAATGTAGTAGACAAGGTTAAAGAAAATAAGAACGCAAATATAATGAGAGTAAAGCTTAAAAGCCACGGCAAGGCAGGGCAAGCCAAGCCAAGCCAAGGCTGTGGTTTGGGTTGGAGAACTAGCTGAAAGTGATATTAAAGTTGTATAAGTTTAAATGAAAAGGAAGCCAATAATGGAGATTTATGTTATATAGATTAAGGGTTATGAATACAAAGTTATATGTTAGTTTATCTCGATTGTGAAGGAAGCTCTCCAGATGCAGTTTGCAGCTTGCATAGGATTTCCTCTTCTGAGAATTCAGATGCTTAGAAAGAACTTCCTCAGCAAATAATATGGTAAAGCTTTTGATATATAACTCGAAAAAATCAGTTAAAACAACTGAGAGAAACAGATGAGCCGCTTTGATAGAATATGGATTATATACCACAGAATCTTTCTCATTTTTTAAGCCATCAATGAATAAATTATTTGCAAAAAAAACCTATATTACTACTATAATTTAAGGTACATTTTTCATATCAGTTCTCAGTTAAGTTCTGGCCAACAGCAGCAGCAGAACTTATTGCTCATTGCACAACTCTAATGGCAGGGCAGCTAACAATACTGCAATGCTCAGCAGGATAACCTTGCTCTCCTTGGCACACACGCACAACCCCCCATACACACACACGCACACTAACACACACACAATCGCACACACAATAGTTTTTATGCCGAGCTAAAGGCATTTTCTTGGCTCCCTTTATGCAATCATTGCAGTCGAGCCAACATTTGAGAGCATCGCATAAACCAAAGGAACTTAGGGGCATTCAGCGCGAAAACAATGCAAATTGCAGTTGGAAGCCATTGCCAGGCCTATTCACATTGAAATTCGCATTTCATATTCAAGCAAACAACAGAAACTACGGCTGCAAGTCAACAATAAGCAAAGGTTTCGGGGAAAAAAAAAACGAAAAAACCTCCAACTCAGTTGCGAGATACTCGCTTGAAAGTTGATTCTAATAATACAGAAGATTGACACAAAAAAAAAAAAAAGAAAAAAAAAAACATTTTGTATTGTAAATTTTATACAGAAAATATTGTATCGTTGCGAAAACTGACTTAACGTTGTAATATAAAAAGTTTTGATGAGCTTCCTGTGAATAAGTAGAAACAGATTTCGCTGACATAAAGCTTCAATCTTTGCTTGAAATGATAAAGAAACCATCAGCTTAATAAAAATCAGCTTGTTAAGACTTTTAAGAGCAGTTAGGACTGCTCAATGAAACTTTTTTCTCTGCTATCACAATCTATATACCCCTTCAAAGCATTAACATTGAAGTATTTTATTTTATATAAAAATGCATTCAAAATTGCAGCATTGCAGATTTATGTACATATATATTCTCATATATACATATATCCTCATTTTGCTGATTGTGCTTTAACTTTAGCTCGACTTTATTTTATTTGCATGTTTTTATTGCAAATTTTCGCCAACCACCTCTTAAGTTCTCCATCTTTATCAGCAGATGAATATGAATATGTGAGTATGTGATTGGGAACGTATTTGTTCACCTCCCTCACTCTACTTCTGCATCTCTCTCTCTCTCTCTCTCTCTCTCTTGAGCTCGCTCGCTCTCCAGCCAGCTGCACCTCTGTGTCTCATGCATTTTCACGTATTCAATGCACATTCATTCAATCAAACATGCATTTGGCTCAGCTGCTCATTCATTCATACCTTCATTTCGCGTACCGACAGATTTTTTGTCTTCCTGCTGCCTTTTTAATACACTTACTTAAGGGTTATTATGGTTTTCTGATACAGATACAGATACAGATACAGATACAGATACAGATACAGATACAGATAC